GTGCAAATAAGACCTTGGCTTCCACATGCTTCTCCCTCTCCTCCCATCCTGGTGGAGAAGCCCAGCCAAGACCCTGCCGGTCTCCGAGGGTCATCCAGACACAGGGACATTCGCAATCACTTTGAAAATATTGATAATTGAGGCCACTTACGGACCAGTATGCCCTGGAACCAGTTCCTCTGGGCATTTGACACTTCTGGGTGACAACTCAGAAAGATGTGTCAAATGCATGTAGGGACAGGAAAAATGAATATACAGCCCCCACTGCCCCACCTCGTAATTAGGAACCAGGACGAGCCCCTCTTCCGTGCTGTGCCCCGCACCAGTTCTCTCGACCAGACCCTAACTAGGATGGATGGCCGTTGTCCATCCCAGGACTGGAAGAAAGCCTGGAATTATCTTAGTCGAGAAGTCTCCAGCCCCGAAAACCATCAGAACTGCTGCATGGATGAGCAGAAAATAGCAGATGATAAATTTTTTAGGACCACCCTCTGCGTGCCAGTTGTAGCAGACTGTGAGATAATGGGCTGGCCTTTTTTGGAACATGCATTATTGATCTGGGTCTGTCTACTGGTTTATAAAAAGCCCATCGTCCCCCCCACTACCACCTTCCCATCCCTCACCTCCTGAAGGAAGCGAGCCTCCTTCAAAAGCCAGCTCTGCTGTTGGAGGGGCTGGCTGTCTGTGGAGGGACGGCTTGCAGGACTGATCTGTGCAAGTAGGTGGGAGCTGACGGATGCCACAGAACACGAAGGCTCTCAGCCCACCACCTCCACTCCCTGGAGTTTATCATTCAGAAACACTCGCGTGTGCAAAGATGCATGTATAAAGACATTCTCGGCAATGGTGTCTGTACCAGTGAAAACTGACACACACGCTAGCAACCTAGAAACAACTCGATAGCCATCCCTGGAGACTGGTTAAGTAGGGCAGTGGTTAGGATCGTGGGCTCTCGTTCAAGTCTTGTTTAGCCACGTTCTAGCTGTGTGACCTTGGACAAGGACTTCATTTCTCTGTGCCTGAATCGCTCTGTCTGTAAAATGAAGAGAATGAATCTATATATATAATTTTATTTATTTATTTATTTATTTTTTGTGAGGAAGATCAGCCCTGAGCCAACATCTGTGCTAATCCTCCTCTTTTTGCTGAGGAAGACCGGCTCTGAGCTAACATCTATTGCCAATCCTCCTCCTTTTTTTTTTTTCCCCTGAAAGTCCCAGTAGATAGTTGTATGTCATAGTTGCACATCCTTCTAGTTGCTGTATGTGGGACGTGGCCTCAGCATGGCCGGAGAAGCGGTGGGTCAGTGCGCGCCCGGGATCTGAACCCGGGCTGCCAGCAGCGGAGCGCGCGCACTTAACCGCTAAGCCACGGGGCCTGCCCCTAATCTATATATTTTAGTTAGCTAAGGTTTTCTTTGCTCTCCTCTCTCCTGTGTTCTCATCACACCCACAGCTCCTTTCCTGATATTTGCATATCCTGTTGGTTTTATTCGAGAGTCACAGATGCAAACTTACAATCAATCGGATGCTGACATGAGGCTTAGCTGGAACACGTTGCTGCAGCACAAATATGTTGTTCCTAAGAGTGGGTGTTCAGCCATTCACCGTGGTTCAGGCCAGAAATCTAGGAGTCGTCCTTGATGGTCCTCTTTTCCGTAACTCCCACATCCAGCCCATCCATCGTCATCTCCCTGGTTCCCCTGCTCCCGCCCTGGCCCAGCTTCCATCATCACCTGCCCAATTTCTGCACTGTCCTGCTAATGGGTCTCCCTGTCTCTGCTCTTGCTCTCTGTAACCTAATTTCAACAGAACAGCCAGAGGGAGCCTGATGGACCCTAAGTCAGGTCACAGCCTCTCCTGCTTATGGCCCCTAACCATGTCCATTTCACTAAGAATAAAATCATGGCCACACGGCCCCTCACGACCTGGCCCCAGTCGACTCCTGGCCTCCTGTCTCTCCACTTACCCCCCGGCTCCCTCCACCCCAGCTCACAGGCACTCTCTGTCCCAACCCACCAAGCCCATTTCTGACTCAGTGTCTTCGCCTTTCCTGTTCTCTCCGCCTGGAACGATCCTTCCCCAGTCCTCCAGATCCCAGCACGGTGCGCTGCACAGAGTAGATGCTTAATACATATCTGCTGAATGCACGAGCAAATATCCAGGTTGTCTTGACTCCCCAGCATAACTATGATCGAAACAGCTTAAGGGGCCCCACGAGGCAGACCAGGGGGCTCTGAGGCCCAGGTGCTGCCCGCAAGTGCTCTCTGCAAAATCCTGCCAGAAACAGAACTCACGCCCCTATGGCCACAGTCTGTAGACTCTCCATGGTTATCAAATGTGGCTTAGGCTAAATGCTGCCGGGAGACAGGTGTTATATGTGTCAAACTGTCAATAAAACCTCTGGGCTTTGATTGCTTCCTGGCTGCAAATTGTTTTTGCACTGATATACTCCTGGAGAAAAATCTATACTTGTGATCATTGATACAAATCATCATAAGGAGTGACTTGGATGCATATAAATCACCTTTTCTTGGCAGTTAAAAGACTGATTCACGTTTTTGATAATGGATCCAAAAAGGGTACAGATTTGCAGTTGGATCTTCACCACAATCTTACATTTGGTTGCAAAGGCTTAGCCAGTAAACCTTTAAATTTGTTGCCACCAACAATATTCAGTTGTCCTTTGACAGTGGACAGTGGCTAAAGGCCCACCCCTCACCTGGTCAATTATTTCACTCCTCACTACAACCCACGAGAGCCTCCAAGATCTGGCCCCATGCTCTCTCTCCAGTCTCATGTTCTACATCCCGTCCCCAGGCTCCAGTCACATCTGTCTTGTTGGTCCTGCCTCAGGGCCTTTGCACATGCAGTTCCCTCTGTTTAGAAGGCTTTTCAGGGGCTGGCCCAGTGGCGCAGTGGTTAAGTGCATGCGCTCCGCTTCGGCGGCCCGGGGTTTGTAGGTTCGGATCCCGGGTGCACACCGACTCACCGCTTGTCAAGCCATGCTGTGGCGGTGTCCCATATAAAGTAGAGGAAGATGGGCACAGATGTTAGCCCAGGGCCAGTCTTCCTCAGCAGAAAGAGGATTGGCAGATGTTAGCTCGGGGGGGGGTCTTCCTCACACAAAAAGAAAAACAATAGAGGGCTTTCACCAGTCCTTCCCAATACACGGTAGTGCTGACGATGAGAAGGGAAATCTAACTTATAGGAGAAGGAAAATGTACAAGGCTTGTGTGCCGTCCAGTATGGTGGCCACAAGGGGCTACTGAGCAGTCGAAAAGGGGCTAGTCCTTACTGAGATGTGCTCTAAGTGTAAAACATACACAAGATTTCAAAAACAATACAAACAATGTAAATATCTCATTAATGATTTTTTATATGGATTATGTGCTGAGATGATAATAATTTGGATATGCGGGGTTAAACAAAATATGTCACTAAAATTAATTTCAGGGCCGGCCCCGTGGCTTAGCGGCTGGGTGCACGCGCTCTGCTGCTGGTGGTCCCGGTTCGGATCCCGGGTGCACACACCGACACACCTCTTCTCCGGCCATGCTGAGGCCGAGTCCCACATACAGCAACTAGAAGGATGTGCAGCTATGACATACAACTATCTACCGGGGCTTTGGGGAGAAAAAGGGGAAAAAAGGAGGAGGATTGGTAACAGATGTTAGCTCAGGGCTGATCTTTCTCACACACACACACAAAAAATTAATTTCACCAGTTTCTTTCTACTTTTTAAAAAAATGGAGCTACTAGAAAATTTAAAATTACTTATGTCATTTGCATATGCGACTTGCATTATATTTCTATAGGGCAGCGCTGTGTAGGGTTTACTGTGGAGAAATGGAACCCATAAAATCCGTGAATTCAAGGGGGAGAAAGAAGGCTTACACTGAGAGAGACCCCCAAAGGGGAGCTGGAAATATAAGTGGAGTTTGAGCCAGGGGAGCAGAAGGTCCTGCCGAGACTGACTCTGGAGGCCTCTCCTGGGGGGCCTCGTTTATGGGGTCTTCTCCTCCCGCAAATGAAAATGTAGGGAGAAAAGCCTCAGGCAAATGAAGAAACCTTCGCTCCGTGGAGGAGCCCCTGGTGTTGCTTTGGAGGGCAGGGAGGGGTCACGATGGTTTATTCAGTGAACCGAGGGTGCGGCCCAGGGGTGGCTTGTGTGGGAATGAAGGGAAGGTGCGGAGGCCACCCGCTGGAGAAGCCCGTGTCATGCCTGCCACGGGGGTAAATGAACTAAACCTTGGCAAGGGCCCCTGTCCTCACCTGCTCTACCCGGAGCCCACGGCGCTGCGAGGGGTGGAAGCCCAGGACGAGAGGTGTCCGGGCGCATCCGCCTGCTGCACCATCTCTGTGAACTGGGCCAGGCCACCAGCGACGGTGCCCGCCCTCCTGCCCCTGGATGCCACCAAGGAAGGCTGAGGTCCCCCTGCCCCCACTCTCAGGCTGGCTCCCTCTTTTATTCAGTGTCAGTGCAAATATCACCCCCTCTGAGAGGCCCTCCCTGATCACCAACCCAAAGTCCCTGCCACCACCACCCCACCCAGCACAGCGCCCTCTTCAGTTTCACCAGAGCATTCCTCCCTTCTTGAAATGATCTTACATGTGAACTTGGAACCGTGCGGATCACCCATCTCCCTCGCTCCATGACTGTGCCTGTCTTACTCACTGCTGGAGAGTCATATTGCCTTAGAATAGTGCCTGGCACATAGTAGGTACTCAAAAGAAACCGGATGAAAATAATGAATTGGTCTTAGCGTTTCTTCTCCTCAAGACTTTGCAGACATCCAGGAAGGGTTCTGCATGGGGAAAAGGTTGGAGACCCCTAACCTTGAGGACCCAGCTGTGAATGCACGTGTGTGGGGCAACCCCCATGACTTGGTTTAAATCCATTAGAAGAGAATTCTACAGGTCTCCACGCCTGACTTGCAGCAGGACCCCGCGACCCCGCGCGGTGACCCCGGGAGATGCCGCCTGCGGGCGGGCGCTTACCCAGCTCCACGTCCTGGTCGTCTGTGAGCACCAGGATGATGTTGGGGCGGATGTTTCTGCGGTCCCTCTGAAACCTGCCTTTCAGGCGGTGGTGTGACAGGAACGCGGAGCTTGCACCCAGCAGAGAGAAGATGGCCGCGGAGAGCAGGCACAGCAGGAGGCCGGGGGGCGCCATTTTCCTGCTTTTGCTGAGCCGTGGCTTCCTTCAGGATGCAGGAGCCTGAGGTTGCGTTTTGTGGATTTGTCTCTTTTCCCTCTTCCCTCTCGACTCACGGATCTAAAGCAGGAGGAAAAGAATCAGGTTAATCTCTGCATAAAGGCTGCCCGTTGCTTGCACTTGCATCACGATTTCCATGACGGCTCCTGGCACGGACGGTGAGAGTTGATCAGGGTGCCTGGCGCAGAGCAAAACCGACCTCGGCTAAAGTGACAGGAAAAGTATTTGCAATCGGCTCAGGCAAGAGGCTGGCAGGAAAGCCTGCGACCACTCCGGCCCACAGAACTTCTCCCCTGGACCAGCGGTCCTCGGGGCCTGTTGGCGGCCGCCCGAGTCCCAAGTCAGATAATCAGCCTGTCTCTGAACCGTCCAACCAACTCAACACACCAATCACCCCAGAGGAAGGGAAGGAGGAAGCCCAGGCCGGCGGAGCAGATGTTTCTGGTCCTCTCTTCTCTGCCGGCACCGCGGGGGCTGTGGACGTGAGGGGATGCGGCCCCAGCCTGAGGCGCGTGTGGTGCAGGGAGGGGTCTGGACAGCGGGCCGGGAATGGTGTCCCCTTTGGGCTGGGCGACTCCTTCAGTGTTTCAGTCCTGGCTCCCTCCCTCAGCAGCCGGTTTCCCCATCAATGAGCCAGTGAGGGACGTCAGTTTCCCCGAGAATAAGATGGGGAGAACGCCATCCCATGGGGCTGTGTGTGAAGGCCCCCTGCCAACAGATCCCGGAGCTGGCCAAGTTATTCATGTAAGACGCAGAATAAACAAAATGATCCAAGAGGAAATTGTGGGCTAAAAGGCTGAGGGAGAAGAGCTGTCGTGTTGCACTGTGACCTCAGTCACCGCTGGACCCCAGGTCAGATGGGGTCCAGCAGAGGCGGCGAGGCCGGGCGGACGGCGGCCCGCGGCTCAGGCAGGTCTCCGAGCTCGCTCCGCTCTTTGCTCTCCGAGGTCATTTTTCTACTTCTGGAGGAAACGAGCCTTCAGGTCCTGTCCAGATATAGACTTTTGGTCTCATTTATTTAAAACGAGAGAGAGAGAGAGTGAGCAGACGTGTTGAGAGAAAACCAAACTCCTCGGAGTCGGGCTGAGTCATCGCCCCTGTGACCTTGAAGGACCATGGGGAACCCCGCCCCCGCCACAAGTCACGGCTCAGGGAGCTCGTCGAGGGCCCCAGGTTCCGCAGAGGTGGATGTGCGGGCTGCATCCTCTCTCCTGGGATTGCAACAGCCCCCTAAGGGGTGTCCCTGCCTCCCCCAGCCCTGCCCCCATCCTCGATCCTCCCCAGGGCAGCCAGTGGGATTTTCTTAAAATTGGAATCAGATCCTAACACTCAGTGAGGCGTTCAGGGCACAAAACTGAAGGGACACTCACTCCAGGCTGTACAAGTGCAAGGCACTCACGTCACCTTAGTCCCAGTGCTGTCCCTCTCCTGCTCAGACCCTCCCCCGGCTTCTCAGGGCTCAGGGAACACAACGCAAACTCCCCACAGGGCCCACAGGCCTGTGCGATCCGGCCCCTGCCCACCTCTCCCCCTTCCTCTCCATGGCTCTCCAGCCCCACTGGCTTCTGTCTGCTGCTCGGACAAGTCAAGCTGGTTCCTGCCCCAGGGCCTTTGCACTTGCTCTTCCTTAAACCTGGAAGAGTCTTTCCCCAGATTTTGTGTGCTGGGCTCGTTCTCCTCTGCCAAGTCTTGGCACAAATGTCACCTCCTTGGAGAGGCCTGTCCTGTCGGCCCCATCTGAGGCGGTGCCCTCACCCCAGGCACTCTCCAGATTTTATAACCGGTTTTATCTCCCTCCTAATCCCTACTACAACCTGCAATCATCTTATGTATTGCCCAGTTCTCACCACTGGAGGGTCAGCTCCATGAGGGCAGGAAGTGGGCCTGTGTTCTTCACAGCTCGGTCCCCAGCACCTTGTACAGTCCTGGCACATAGTTGGTGCCAAACACATGTTCAGATAAATAAAAGAATGGGGATTCTGTTAAGGTTCTCTGAGTTCTGCAGAGTGAGGGACGCTGGGCTCGGCAGGGCCGCACTATACCCTGGGGCTGGAGGCTCAGAGGCCTCCATCAGTGACGCCCTCCCCCGTCACCTTCCCTGGGTCACCCAGGAGGGGTCAGCCACTCTGAGTTATCCGGGCACGCTGTGGTTGAAAAGACCCCAGGAAGGGTCCCAGGTGGGCTGCTCTTTGTTTGTCCCTCCTGATCCATTCTCCACCCTGCTCGGCGCCCCAGGAAGCCGACCACTGCACACTGCATCTCTGCGTCTCTCTCATCTCTGGCATCCCGCTGCTTCTGCCAGTGGAAGCCCTGCTGGAGGGCTGCAGGGCAGAGGAAGGCAGGAAATCAACGTAGTTACTCGCCTCTGCTCCTCCCCAGCATGCAGTGGCTCCCTAGCGCCTTTGTCTCTCTATGACTGGCCACAGCTCCAGTAGGGGCCCCTCCCGGGGGCAACTCTCCCTCCTCCTGGCCCTCTAGGGAGCAGTAACGGCTCCTCTCCGCTGCCAGTTTTCGGTGCTGCATCATTCCTGGTCTGCTCCCTTACCCCCACCCCACCTCTGAAAACAGGGCCTTCAATCAACTCTCCCTGGCGGGGCTGGGAGCTCCACACAGGGCTTCCCTCCCCAGGGGCCTCCGACAGGACACCTGTGTAGGGAGATGAGATGACAGTCACATCATCAGCGGAGCTGCCCTGGGAATCTGAGTTTCATGGGGCCAGAGGGCAAGCACCGACTTCCCTCGCAACCCCCTCACCTGCTAAAGTGCACATCTCTCGACAACCAGAGCCACTGCATCGGCTGTGTCCTGGGCACCTGCTGTGCGCCACGTGGGGTGATGGTTAAGACATGGACTTTGGACTTGCTTGCTGGGTGACCCTGGGCAAGTAACTGGACACCTCTGTGCCTCAGTTTCCTCACCTATGAAATGGGTGTGAAGGATTGAATGAGTTAATACAGAGTGCTGAGACTAGAGCCTGCCCATGGTATTCACCAGAACGCGTCGGTCACAGTGTGAACCGGGATTAGATGATTATTATGATCCTTGCAGCTGGGTCCTGCATCAGTCTCTCTCTCTCTCTCTCTCTCTCCGCAGAATCTCCTTCAATCCCCACAACAACAACCCTCCCACACAGGGACGAGTATCATCCCCTTCTACAGTTGAGACCAACTGAGGCTTAGTCCCTGTCCTCAGGTCACCCAGAGAGGAAACGGCAGAGACAGGCTTTGACCTCTCTTCTCCCAGACTGCTCAGCACCGGCCAAGTGGCCTCATTTTAAAATAAAAACACAATACACATTTTTGAAAAAGAAAACTTTCTATCCAAGGAAAATCATCATCCCTTCTCTGTAGAACTAAACACACAAATAAAGCCAAAGAAAGCAAACAGTGTTACTCAATCTAGCAGCTTCTACTCCCTAGTTAAGGCTCTGGGCTGGGCCCCGTGCCGCCTGCTCTCGCACTTGTGGGCTCTCTCTTTCAGGGGAGGTTAGCAGGTGTAGAGAGGGGTCGAAGCACATCAGCACCATCCCGAGACTCTCTGTGGAGGCTGTGGGAGGCCTCGGAGGGTTGACAAGGAGACCGCTCTAGACATCCAATTGGTCCCTGAATTACCCCAGGTCATGGGGTGGTCCTCGAACCACGCTGTTTATCCCTCCACGTCCTCCCTCGGGAAACACACCGGGATGCGTTGTGCTTTGCACGTGAAACCACGCACTTGAACCAACATGCCAACCCGCCCATGGAAACGCACATTCATGTTCCTCCATCCAGACATCGAGTGATAAAATAATACTGAGAGGATTTCCAAGGGATGCCCTACGAACCACCTCTCTTACACCAGAAATAACCATAGCAAATGCTCACCGGGAGCCTGCAAAGCCCCGGCCCCGCTCGAAGCATTTTACACATCAACTTGTTTAATCCGCAAATCCACCCAGCAACATTATACCCATTTTATGGATGAGGAAGCCAAGGCACAGGGAGCTAAAAGCACTTTCCCATGATCACATGGCTAAATAAAGGGCAGAGGTGAGGTTCAAACACAGTTTGGCTCAAGTCGGCCTGCTCCACTGGAACCTTCTGGAAGCAGGTCTCTAGGAAAGTTCCTGAGAGGCTCTCAGCCTTAGTTTCCCCATTTGCCAAAAGAGGCAGCAGGCAGCCAGATGCCCTCTGAGGGCCTTTTTGGCTCTGGGCCTGTGATGTGAGGTGCAGGGGAGCCGGGAGCCCCGGGTCAGGTGGAGGCGGAGACGGGGACACGGTCAGCTGGACTCTGGTCCCGGCACCCGTGTTGGTCTTCTTAGCCCACCCCGTCTCCGCCCCTATCCCGCTCCTGGGCAGCTATAACCTGCCAGCCAGGACGCTCCTCCTCTGGACGGAAGTCAGGGCTCTGCGACCCGAGACTGGAGAATAACAGGAGCTAATTATTTCATCAGATCAAGGCATCAGTAGGTCGATTTTTGATGAATTCCCCCGGCTCCGACTTCCCCTGGCCGTGTGCCAGCCCCTCTCCGGATGCTGAAGAAATCAATTAAAAATGACACAAGGGATTCTGCCTCCATTTTCTTCCTTCTTGGTAAAAGATTCCAAGCGGCTGAACCGAGAGAGTATCTGGTGACTCCGGGTAGGACGAGCTGGCCCATGTTCTGTCCACGTACCGTCCTGCAGACACCACCCCTCGTGCATTTCGAGGTCCATCTGGCTCCTTCTCTTGGTCTTGCGTCTTCTCACAGACCCTGGCAAAGGCTTCCCGGCCCAGGAAGACATCCCTGGAAATGCCTGATGTCCCGGGCGTTCAGAAACATCCCTCCTGCATCTGGATTCATCAGCCGACCTGCAGAGAGGAGCCGGTGACTTCCCCGCTCCACACACCACAGCGTCGGGGACACACCCGGGACCTCACCCAGGCGGGTCTGGAAAGACCCCGATGGCTGTTTTCCTCTGAGGACCCCCAGATCCAACAAGAGTAGCTGAAAGGAGTTTGGGAAGGATCAGGCAGCTGAGGAGGTGGGAGGGGAAGAAGTGGCCAGAGGCAGAACAAGGCATTGATCAGCAGGGA